TGGTCGGTGGGAGGCTACTGGTGGCAAAAGACGGTCTCGTAGGTACCCAGGTCCTAAGCCATGGAGTGCTTTAAAGGTGATAACTAACACCTTGAATCGCACCCGGAAGACCACCGGGAGCCAGTGCAGCTCACGTAGGAGAGGTGTTACATGGGCGTAACGAGCTGCGCCCATAATCATCCGTGCGGCTACGTTCTGGACCAGTTGGAGCCTCCGGGTGCTTTTCAAGGGGAGCCCTATGTAGAGAGCATTACAGTAGTCCATACGGGAGGTAACTAGGGCATGAGTGACCGTGCACAAGGCGTCCCGATCCAGAATGTTGCCCATGGGGTTGCGATAGGTCGGACACAACTTTGCAATTAACAACAACAACATTCAACTTCAATTCCCTGGGTCTCAATCATTATCTCCATTGCCTCTCTAGTGAAGCTTCAACCTCTGCAACTTTTTTTCTCTACCGCCCCGCTTGAGGTTACTTTTTGCAGCTATTCTGCCTTATTTCATCCACTTAACAGCCTGTTGGAATTCTTCTAGGTCTGCTCTACAGAAAACAGAAATGTTGAAGGGCTGTGCTTTGTGAATGGGACAGCTGGCAAAAAGAGAGGGATAGAAACATACCCATGGCAGAAGCGCTGGTAAAAATAAAAGGCAGAGCCAGATACAGAAGAAGGCTATTTGAAAAGCCAGAAAATAAAGGGAAAGAAGGAAACTTAGGTAAGTTATCAGAAACAAATCTTGTACCGTATAAGTATAAATCAAGAGAAGGAAAGGCCATTACAGTGATACTACAGCTGTGCCTTTAGTTCAGGGCAAGTGAGCCAACTTGCAAAATGCAAATGTTGTATCCTGTTCCAGTTTAGTTTCTGATCAAATAAGTTTTGAATTTTCAGTATTGTTTCCAAAAAAACCCCACAAAAAACAGTCACCTGTTTTACCAGAAAAGGAGACACAGAGAAGGAAACAGTAGGAATCTTAAGACTGTTACAAGATGCATAAAGTTTGGGACTGCAAGTGCCGCAAACTATACCTGCTCTGGATCTTAATGGTGCTTTTGGTCCCAAACATCTGGAAGGCATCAGACTGCATATTCCTGTTCGACTGTATCACCTTCAAATCTTTAGAAAGCTATTGTGCGCGCACGAAAAACCAAAGATGAAAGAATAAACTAAGATGGTACGGAAAGAGCTAGAAACTAGAAAAGAGAATTAATCAATTCTATAACTAGAATTAATCAATGATGCAGGAGGGGTTAAAAGCAGTAAATTAGAGTCTAGGAGACCACCAGCTATCCTGTAGTCCTGCTATATAGCCTGAAACCAGCTGGGACACTTTGGGTCAGTCCCTCTCTCTCAATCCTCTTACCAAAGCAACAAACAGCTGAAAAACGTTGCCAAGAGAACTGCTGAGACTAGTCCACATAGTCACCAAGAATCAAGACTGACTTGAAGGAGATGAGAAGTGATGAAAGAGCGAGAAATCAATAGATGGTGAAGGATATAAAAAAAAGAGGCAGGAAAAAAAAAACCCTATCTGTAAAAGAATATGCCCATTTTGGCATGCTGTGTTATGGCAAGTTTTTATATAGGCAGTCCTTACCACAATTTGACCCCAAATTTCCACGCTAAGCAAGACAGTTGTTAAGTGAATCCCTGCAGTGGTTAAGTTAGTAACCCGGTTGTTAAGTGAATCTGGCTTTCCCATTGACTTCGGTTGTCAGGTGGTCGCAAAAGGTGATCCTGCGACACCAGGACACTGCAGCCGTCATAAATATGAGTCAGTTGCGAAGCATCTGAATTTTGATCACATGATCATGGGGATGCGGCAACGGTGGTGAAAAATGGTCGTAAACCGCTTTTCTCAGTAGCGCTATAACTTCGAACATTCACTAAACGAACGGTTGTAAGTCGAGGACTGATGGCCAAAGCCTATTAATAAAGGCGAGCACAATATGGAAGAATGACAACAGGCTGCTACCACAGGCATACTTTCGAGATATTGTGGGTTTGGTTCCCGACCACAATAAAGCGAATAACACAATAAAGCAAGTCTGACAACTTTTTTGGTTTTCCAGTGCATATAAAAGTTATATTTATGCTTTACTGCCATCTATTAAGTATGCCAATAGCATTAGGCTTTTTAAAAAGTACATAACTTAATTTAAAAAACAAACTTTATTGCTAAAAAAAATACTAATCATCATCTGAGCCTTCAGCAAGTTGTAATTTTGCCAGTGGAGAGTCTCGTTAAAAAAAAAAAAAGTAATATTTGCAGGGAGCAATAAAACTGAGGTATGCTTGTACTTCAGAAACACTTTGCCAATCACTTCAAAATGTCAACAATTGCAGGTGACAAGCTCTAAATTGCACGCGGAGTACAACTTGTCTTTGGGAATACAGGGAAAAGGATACACTAAGTACCCACAACATAGACTGCATGTGGAAACAATGAATCTGCCTATCCAAATAACCATAAGGATATATTTAGCCTGCAATCACACACATTAATTACTAAAATCCCAACGCGCATACTTACCCTCAGTTGCACACTGTATTCTGCCATCCCCATAATTTCCACTTTTACTTAGGAGGCACGAAGAAAACTATCGCATAGAAGCATTTGATGGGGGGGAATAGACCAGGATACTTCTGGGTAAGACTTTCAAAGAAATTGTGTCCTATCCTTTTTCCTTTTTTAAAAGAAAATTCTATGGAAATTTATTTAGACCAGTGTTTGTCAACTTTGGAAGCTTGAAGATGAGTGGACTTCAACTCCCAGAATTCTGGGAGTTGAAGTCCACCCATCTTCAAGCTACCAAGGTTGAGAAACACTGATTTAGACTATATCACGATCTACTTGCAACTCTCTTCCCATCACCTTTCAGATTTTCATCCAAACAACCACAACAACAACCAAAAAGAAAAAAGAAAAAAAAGAAAAAAAAGAAAATCAATTAAGCAAGCAAAGACGGATTTGCAGCAGAATACATTTCTACAAGCTACCCCATCCGAAGCGGCCCTTCTCCAAATGAATTTATGTAAAGATCAAGACACTAAAAAAAGCCTTGGTGGTGCAGTGGACGAAAGTGCTGTTAAACTAGCACTTAGCTGCCAGCTGCCTGCAATTACTGCGAGTTCAAATCTCACCAGGCTGAAGGTTGACTCAGCCTTCCATCCTTCCGAGGTAGGTAAAATGAGGACCCGCATTGTGGGGGCAATAAGCTGACTTTGTATAAAAAAAAATAGAACACCGCTTGGGGGGGGCAAAAGCCCTACTAAGCAGGTATATACAAAAGTATGAAGGCTATTGCTTTTTTGGGGGGGGTGTCTTTTTTTTAAATTTATTTCTTTCCAAACAAAATATATAACAACATATAGATCGCGGTGAGAACCTTACACAATACATTATCTTCAGTCCAAATATACAAATAGGAAATAAAAGCTACGCTAACCTTATCCTCTTTTTATTCTATTATTTAACCAAGTATACCATTGGTCCCAACATTGAAAATATGCGGATTCTTTTTGATCTCTCAAAAGTTTTTGTTAGCCTATCGGCTTCTGCATATTCAATAATTTCCCCTAAGATCAAGTCTTCAGACGGTAGATCTTTCCCCCTTCCAATTTTGGGCGAGACATATTCTTGCTGCAGTTGTAATATATACAATTAAACACCATTTACTCGTGCCTATCTTGTCTGGCCTAATATTTAATAGATAATATTCCGGTTTTAGTTGTAATTTATATCCAGTTTAACGCATTGTGAGCCGCCCTGAGTCTCTGGAGAAAAGGGCGGCATATAAATCGAACCAATAAATAAATTCAAGGCAGAACCCGCAGAAAAGGGAAAAAGGGTTTGCAAAACCAGGATGTCGTAAGAGCCTTGGTAGCACAGTGGACTAAAGCACTGTTATTAACATCTGCTGCTTGCAATTACTGCAAGTTCAAATCCCACCAGGCTCAAGGTTGACTCAGCCTTCCATCCTTTCTAAGGTAGGTGAAACGAGGACCCAGTTTGTGGGGGCAATAAGCTGACTTTGTATAAATATACAAAAGTATGAAGGCTATTGCTTAACACATTGTAAGCCACCCTGAGTCTCCGGAGAAAGGGCGGCATATAAATCGAACCAATAAATAAATAAATAAATAAAAATTCAAGGCAGAACCTGCAGAAAAGGAAAAAAGGGTTTGCAAAACCAGGATGTCCTTAGCAGCTGATTCAAAACCTGGGCCAGGTTTGTAATGCTTTAAAACCGAGATTTCCACCTAGGTGGAAAACCACCTTTTTACGAGCAAACCAGGGCCTGGTGGCTCAGCAGACTAAAAGCATTGTGATTAACAGCAGCTGCCTGCAATTACTGTAAGTTCGAATCTCACCAGGCTCAAAGTTGACTCAGCCTTCCATCCTTTCTAAGGTAGGTAAAATGCGGACCCAGATTGTGGGGGCAATAAGCTGACTTTGTATAAATATACGAAAGTATGAAGGCTATTGCTTAATGCATTGTAAGCCGCCCTGAGTCTCCGGAGAAGGGCGGCATATAAATTAAAGCAAAAACAAAACAAAACAAAACAAAACAGCCGATTCAAACTCCGGGCCAGGTTTGTAATGCTTTAAAACCGAGATTTCCACCTAGGTGGAAAAACCACCTTTTACGAGCGCAACTGAACGTGCGCGGAAGGGAAATCCTGCGAACTAAAACCCCTTGAAAGGCGGCATCCAGGCATTCGTTCACATCCACGCACACAGGTGTGAGGCGCAGCCAGTTCTGGTTCGGCTCCGCGAACGAACGAAGGAAGGGAGAAGAAGGAACGTGCCGGCTTCCCCCTAAAGCCCGCTGGCCGACTGCAAGCAAGCGGCTCCGCAGAGCAGGCGAGCGGCGAACGAGCCAAGCGCCCCGCCGCTTCCCCGCGTTAACTTCCCCCGAAGAGGCGCCGCGGACGCCGAAGGAAGCCCCGTCCGGGAAGGGGGGGGGATGGAAGGGCCGGGCCGGTCCCCGAACTCACCTCCTTGATTTTCAGGCGCCGGACGCGGGTGTCGGGCTCCTCGGTGCCGCCTCTCTTGCCGCCCAGCACCGGGAAGCGGAGGCGCTGCCGGAACGCGGCGTAGTCGAAGCGGAACGGGGCGCGCGTCTGCTGCAAAGGGGCCGCCGAAGCGTCCTGCTCGGCGGGCGGGCGGCTCCGTCTGGAAGCCGGCTCGGAGTGCGGGAGGTCGGGCGGGTCCCGGAGGTGGCGAGAGCGAGGAGCAGGAGGCGGCGGCGGCGGCGAGGCGGGCGGGCTGGCGTTGGCGGGCAGGTGGCGAGCCAAGCCGGGTCCCGGCGGAGGGCTGCGGGGGGCTTCCAGCTCGGCTCCGGCGTGGCGGGCCAGGAAGAGGCGCTTGACGCGGGAGGAGTCCGGCAGCAAGAAGAGGGCGCCGAAGCAGAGCGTGAGCAGGCCCGAGAGGAAGAGCAGGAAAAGGAACTTCTGCGGCAGCCGCAGCGCCGACGCCGGCCAGCCCGGCCACTTCCGCGGCAGCAGCATGGGAGCTCCGCCACAGCCGGCCAAGGGGGCACCCTCCGGCCGCCACGCAGCACCAGGCGCCCCGGCCGAGCGACCGACCGACCGACCCTCGCCAAAGACCGCCTTTGGGGCTTCCCCCAGCGTCCCGGGCCCCTCGGCTTCAGCAGCGGCTGGTTCCGCTCCACGCGCGTCCTCTCCCGGTTCGTCGAAACCGGCTGCGCAGAAGCCGGAGCCAGCCAAGAGCGCCGGCGGAGTGGCGGAGAAGTTGTGGCCGCCCCCGGAGAAGCGGCTCCGACGACTGGAAGAGAAGTTGCCGAGTTGCCGGACGAGATGCTCGCAGGGACAGGGCGGGGAGGGGCCAGTCCTCCTCCTCCTCCTCCTCCGCTTCTCCTCCTCCCTCCGCTTTGCAGGCACTTTGCTCCTCTTCGGGGCACCGGAATTCCCCTCCCTGCCTGCCTGCCTGCCCGGAATCTACAGCCGGAGCCTCGCCGTCCTGCGGAGGGGACAGGGGGGCAACCCCGGCCGGATTAGACGGGGCAGGCAAAGGGGGTCGGGCGGGGTCTCCCTCCGGCTTTTCCGCCCTTTGCCGCTTCGGCCCGTCCCCGCCGCTGCTAACGGGCACCGGGGGAGCCGCTCTCCGGCCGCTTGGGGCTCAGAGCCGGATCGTCGGCGGGTTCATGATGCAGCATTTCTGGAGGGAGGGAGGGAGGAAGGCAGAGCCGGAGCTTGTAGCTCAGCGCCAGGGGTCGGTCGGGGCGCCCCCCGCCGCCCGACGTCTCCCCAGCCGCGCCGGCCTCTCGCCTTCCATCCACGTCGGGCCGGGCCTCCCCCCCCCCCCCCCCCCCGGCCCCCCCCCCGCTCCCGCCGGCCCCCCCCCGCATCCCCCTGGCTTCCCCGCCCGGCTCCTCCCGGCGCTCGTCAGCCGGCTGTTTAGGGAGAAGCCGAGCATCCGCCTCCTCCCGCCGGCGAAGGGGAGGCTCCACCCAGGCGCGGGAGGAGGAGGAGGAGAGCCACGGAGGGCGACACGCGGGAGAGCGTTCAGCGGCGGCGGCTCCGATCCCGCCGGCCTCTCGGGAGGAAGGGAGGCATCCCCGGCGTCGCCGCTTGGCCCGGGGCCAGATTCGCCGGCCGGCCCCCGCAGGGACGCCGATCGTCCGGTTTTGAATCGTCCGCCGGTGGGTTTTCTGGGGCTCCCCGATCAGCGGCTTCCCGACTTCGGTGGCTCCTCCTCCTCCTCCTCCCCGAAGAAGAAACGGCTCCCAACTTTTTCCCCTGCCTGGCTCATGCGGGAGGGAGGGAGGCGGATGGCGGGCCGCGGAGAGGGAGGGTTGAGGAGGGATGGGGGGGAAGATCTCCCGCCTGGCGCTAGGCTCGGCCGCGGCGACGGGGAAGGCGGGCGGGCATCAGGCGCTCCGGGCTCCCTGGCTGAGCATCCATCGCCGGTCTCGCCCAGGCGGGCCCCGAAGTCTCAGAAACCGCCCGCGGCGGCTGGATGCCTCCTCCTCCTCCTCCTCCTCCGCTCTTGGGATGCCCGCGATGTCCTCGCCGCGGACGGCCAAGGGCTCCCCGGGAAAGGGCTGCTCTGCTCTTTCCACCGGACCTGCGGGGCTGCGGAGGAAAGGCAAGCGGGCCTGATGGAGAAGCTGCCCCCGCCGGCGAAGCAGCCGCAACGGCCCTTCTCTTGCCCTTAACGCGCCGGCAACGGGGCGCCGCTCTCAGGCGGCATCGCTCCCAGCAAGGCTCGGGCACCGCCGACCGCACCGACTGCAGCTGCCTTCGACTGCGACAGCGGCTGCCCCCCCCCCGCTCCCACTCCTCGCGCCAGTCCGCTGCCGCCGGCTCCGCCTCCTCCTCCACCTGGCCCCGCCTTTCCCCTCCCAAGCCCCGCCCACCAGTAACCCGGCCTCTTCGCGCTTCTGGCTTTCTTCAATGGGCCCGTTCCCGACGGACTCCTCCCTCCGGGGGTGGAGCTTCGCGGGGGGGTGGAGCTTCGTGGGTGGGTAGCGCCGGCCCCTCCTCCGCCCGTTTTTGTTTACCAGAGAGGCCGGCGAGACCCCGATGGGCTACCGAAGCCGCCGTTCTGATTGGCCGGACGTGCTGCGGCTCGTTGAAGAGGGGGGGGGGGAAGCGGGGGGGGGGGGGGGGCGGGGGGGGAAAAAGAGGCTGGGGCGCGGCGGGGAGGACGGTGCGTGCTTGTTTTAACGCGGGGATGGATATTCTCTCTCCCCCCCCCGCCCACCCCGTTAAAACCACGTGACTGTTAAAAACAGCATCGCTGCTCTGGAACGGGCATGCGTTTTTTGGGTGTTATATAAGCCTCTCTTGGCTATCGGTGTTCCCCCTCCTCCCCAAAACGCACTGGAACTACGACTCCCAGAATCCCCAGGTGTCCTGCTCATCCTCTGCTTGAGAAGTGCCATGGGAGCACATCTGGAAGGCGCTGAGGTTTATAGCTTCTGCTTACCGCGGGTTAATTCGGCTGCCCCTTTGAAGGACCTTTTTAAGACGGGGGTCTCCAACCTTGGCAACTTTAAGACTTGTGGACTTCAAGTCCAAAAATTTGCTGGCTGAGGAATTCTGGGAGCTGAAGTCCACAAGTCTTAAAAGTAGCCAAGATTGGAGACCCGATTTAAGAAAACCATGTCTGGGTTTACAAACCACCTATGCCTTGGTTTGGGCCACCCGATTTGGGGGATTTGCAGAATACGAAACCTGCAAAGGCAGCCAGGTGTGCCACTCCACAATACCGTTCTGAGTCAGTGTGTTGATTCCTGGAGACTGCATGGACCACTAGTCCCTGCAAGATTTTCTGAAGTGGTTTGCCATTGTCTCCTCCTTAGGGCTGAGAAGGAGTGACTGGCCCCAAAGTCACCCTGCCGGCATAGAATAGAATAGAATAGAATAGAATAGAAAGAATAGAATAGAATAGAATAGAATAGAATAGAATAGAATAGAATACTTTATTGGCCAAGTGTGATTGGACACACAAGGAATTTGTCTTGGTGCTTATACTCAGTGTACATAAAAGAAAAGATACATTCATCAAGAATCATAAGGTACAACACTTAATGATAATCATAGGGTACAAATTAGCAATCGGGAAACAATATCAATATAAATTGTAAGGATCACAGCAACAAAGTTACAGTCATACAGTCATAAGTGGACTGTAGCCTGGATACCTCAACAGACAGAGCTCTGTAATTTAACACCAGCTGTCTGCAATGAAAGTAAGACTGAATCCCGCCAGGCTCAAGGTTGACTCAGCCTTCCATCCTTTCTAAGATAGGTAAATTGAGGACCCAGTTTGTGGGGGCAATAAGCTGACTTTGTATAAATATACAAAAGTATGAAGGCTATTGCTTAATGCATTGTAAGCCGCCCTGAGTCTCCGGAGAAGGGCGGCATATAAATCAAATTAAAAAAAAAAAAACATGGAAGGAGATGGGTGGTGGCACTGAGAAGATTAATAGTAGTGCAGACTTAGTAACTAGTTTGACAGTGTTGAGGGAATTATTTGTTTAGCAGAGTGATGGCATTCGTGGAAAAACTGTTCTTGTGTCTAGTTATTCTGGTGTGCAGGGCTCTATAGCGTCGTTTTGAGGGTAGGAGTTGAAACAGTTTATGTCCAGGATGTGAGGGGTCTGTAAATATTTTCACAGCCCTCTTTTTGACTCGTGCAGTATACAGGTCCTCGGTGGAAGGCAGGTTGGCAGTAATTGTTTTTTCTGCAGTTCTAATTATCCTCTGAAGTCGGTGTCTGTCTTGTTGGGTTGCAGAGCCAAACCAGACAGTTATAGAACTCAGTCTTATAGCTTCTAGCCCTGATGCCTTAGCCATTACGTGAAATTGGCTGTTATGCCTTTGGTAGTTGTATATTTGAATCTAGCCAAAAAGGAAAAAAGGAAAGAAATGAAACAGCATTTGCACACCTTTTTCTGTTAGAAGGCATATTTCTTCAAGGAGAATAAATCAACTAGAATCCAGAGAGAAAACTTCTAATGAACTGCAGCTGCCTTGAAGCTTGTAAATTATTAAAATTTCTGCCTTGCACTTGACTCCCGATGACTTAATGGACACGTCCATACAGTTTTCCTAGTAACAGTTCCAAGTGGGGTTACCAAGGGCTTCTTCCTGGATGGTTTCTTCAGCCCCTAATAAACAATTAGAACCTGCAGCTTTTTACTAAATTCTGTCCAACTAGTTTGACAATGGTAATCCAAGCCGGTATAGCTACAGGTAGTTCCTGACCTATGATCACAATTGGGATCAGAATTTCTGTTACTAAATAAGGTGGTTAAGTGAGTTGCATCTGATTTTACAACATGTTTTGCCATGAATCACCGCAGTTGTTAAGGGAAAAGAGAGCGTTACTTGCCAAAAGTCAGCTGGGAAGGTTGCACATGGTAATCATGTGTTCCAGGGGTGAAATCCAGCAGGTTCTGACAGGTTTTGGAGAACTGGTAGTGGAAATTTTGAGCAGTTCAGAGAACCAGCAAATACCACCTCTGGGTGGCCCCAGAGTGGGGTGGGAATGGAAATTTTGCAGTATCCTTCCCCTGGAGTGGGGTGGGAATGGAGATTTTGCAGTATCCTTCCTCTGCCACGCCCACCAAGCCACGCCCAAAGAACCAGTAGTAAAAAAAATTTGGATTTCACCTGGGACAGAACACATAAATACATGCTAGTTACCAAGTACCCAAATTTTCACCACATGAGCTTTACGGATGCTGCAACAGTCATACGAAGAGCAGTTGTAAGTTCTTTTTTTTCAGTGCCATTCTCACTTTGAAATGTTGCTAAACAGGTGGTTGTAAGTCAAAGGCTACATGTATCCCTCAGGTAACCAAAAAGAAAACCCACTCAGAGACAGGCACTATGATTTAAAGAATTCATTAATTTTAACTAGGCTTATATAGCACTTCATTCATTGATCAAAGCTTAGCAACTTACAGTCCTATTAGGTACCCAGACGATTAACACAACTAAGAATTAGATCTAGAGAAAGACCATACATGCATGAATTTAAAATAATAATGGCAACATAATCTATACTTAAACACACAATATTATGCAATAGTGGCAAATATCTGTAGCTTGGGTGTAGGATGAGGGTGAAAGTTCATTCTCCAAGCTTGTCCAAGACTTGTTAGGATATGGTTTGAGCCTAACAAATTGTCCAGGCAATATATGTGTTCTGTGACTTTAATATGAATATGTATTGTGTGACTTTAAAGTTTTCCTGCTGATTCAGTGTAATGCTGAGTCATGCTGTAATTAGTTGTGAACATATTCAGTTGATGATAAGCTACTATAGTGTGTGGAGTTGCTATCCATTGTGCTATCATCGTTGGATGGATCTGCTACCATCGTGGTTTGTGAACCAGAGTGAGTTTGTTATTCTAATCAACTACTGTTTGTGTGGTAAGAAGATTTCTGTATCACTGGACTGATTTAACTGGCAAAGACTTGGATTGATTTAAAGACTATGAGATTGTTTTTTCACTATAAAGTAAACTTTTGATAAACCAGTTTGCACATTTCTTATTCATTGCTCTCAGCAACGTTTCTCTGTGCGCTACACTCTGCTGGTTGGTAACACAACAACAATATCCTTAACAAGACTCTCTCTTGACACTCCCATAACTGACCCATCACAACACTTACTGACGATACCTGAAACCGTGATAAACAGAAGAATACTGTTTATACCGACACTGACATCCCCTAAACTCCGCTGTAGATGTTACCTAACCTGGTAACATTGGAA